AGACCTCTATAGTATTAAAACAAGTTAAATGTGGCAATATTCCACTCCACTACCCTCCCATCCATCAATTTGCTCGAGCAAGCACCAGTAACGTCTCACAACAAAATGTGAGACTTGTTGTTAACTGTTTTTGGCATGTCGAATACATCATGGGGAGCTTGCCAGGCTTTGCTGTGCGGGCAAGATACTCTCGGTAGCTTGCCGGGCTCTCCAAGAAGGGCGGAGGTATCAAACCCGGGTCAACCATGTGCAAGGCAAACGCCCTACCCACTGTACTATCGCTCCAGCCCAGCAATATTAACAACCTAAATTTATGAAAATAAAATGTTATTTCTAAATAAAGTAATACTTTTATTCATTTTGTATTTGAATAAATTAATAGAGAATGTTTTGGCAGGGTTTGAGAAGTCTTCCTTTCCTCAAAAGGCAAGATCTTTGAATCTCAATGAATTCTAAATGCATTTTCTAATTACTAAATCTAGGAACAAATTCTAATTTTGGCAGATAAAAACTTGAGAGAAGTGACTACATTTGGGCTGTGTAACTAGCAGTAAAATGGAATACTAATAGAAAGCTAGGGTATTTTATTGGTTACTCAAAGAAATAGATATTGACCCATTTCAAAAATTTGTGACTCATTTAACAAACTCCTCATTTTTAAAAAAAATCATAGATCATTAGAATTTAAATGAAGACAGAAATGCCATATATATTTCCCTCACTTCAACAAATACACTTCCTAAATCAGAAATCCTTCTAATTTGAGGTGTACCAAAAATAATATTAGTACATATGGAGTCACAAATTAACAGTTTCTATAAATAAGCACAAATTTTGTCAAAGATATAATTCTAGAGCTGAAATTTACATAATACTATGACTATGTTTTGATGTCAAGAAATGTTCAATTTCTGTTTTAGTGCCATAAAAAGGAAATCTAAAATAGAAATCTAAAGTTCTATTTTTGCCAACAATTAAAATATCACAGTAAAATATTTTTAATTGTTCCAGTGTTACACACACAAAATTTAAATTGAGAAGAGCTAATTTAAGAAAGCAACAATTTCAAGATAGTTGCCCTTGTGTCAAAAAGAAAATATCTAGGTCAGTATAGCAAATACTTGTGAAATATTGGAAGAAAATATAATCTTTAATCACCTAACTGTTCCCATTTCCCAGTTTTCCCTTAATTTCTCCACCTTGATTGATTTCTTTTAGATGTTCTCTCCATACCACACAAAGTAAAAACAATTTACAACAAATATGCTTGAATTTTTTACTTCTGGTGAAGATAATTAGAAACCTGAAGTTCATATTTATAGATTCCAAACAGGAAAAATAGTGCTGTGGATGAAATTTTAGTTCAATAGACCCAAAACAAGCACTGCAATCAATGCAAGCATAAAGAACTTGTCTGAGTTATGGTACCCCTGTGCAAAACAAAATTCATATGTTTCTCTCACAAATTGTAATGAAGATAAAATGGGATTATCTCTGTCACCTGTTGTATGTCATAGCCTACAATTTTCTGTGCAAACTTCAATTACACAGAATATTTTTAAAGGCCAATGATCAAACAATCTAACAGAAGCATAGTACATGTTAGATGTGATTTCTTTGCTTAAAGTGAAAGATTGTCAAATGTTAAGCAGCTCTGCTGGCACAGCTGCACGAAAAATAAAATGCATAGGTCAGGGAAATAGTTCAAAGAGCTAGGAGATAGTTTCGGGACTGGGATTCATGCTCTATGTGTAAGATACCCAGATTCAAACCAGGTATTTCATAGTCTCCTGAACACTGCTGGGAGTGATCCCTGAGCACCAAATTTGAAAGTAGCTTCCAAATACTGCCAGGTGTGGCTCTTGAGAAAATGAGAGCGAGAGAAAAAGAGAGAGAGAAGGCTTTTCTCTTGATGCAACCAGAAGAACAGAATAAGGACAGGATTTAATAGTGACATAATACTTAATGAATATATATATATATATATATATATATATATGGCTGGAACGATAGCGCAGCGGTAGGGCGTTTGCCTTGCACGCAGCCAACATGGCCGACCCGAGTTCAATTCCTCCGCCCCTCTCGGAGAGCCTGGCAAGCTCCCCGTGACGTATTCGATATGCCAGACACAGTAACAACAAAGTCTCCAATGGAGACGTTACTGGGCCCGCTCGAGCAAATCGACGAACAACGGGAGGACCTTTACCTTTACCTTTATATATATTAACACTTTGGAAAGACCAAGTCACCTTTGTTTCACCTAAAACCACCTGCTCCACCCATGATAGAGATCTATTCTTTGGAAAAAACAAATTCTACTTTTTGAAGTAGAACTTTATGGTTTATATTCCTAAATGCTTTAGCCAAAACCACAACTTCAATCCATTGCAAAATAGGGCTAAAAATTATATGGTTCTCAAATGTCTTTCAGTTCTTATAACCACAGAAGACTGTAATCAACTAAGATGCACATCATTCCTCAATTTTTACCAAGTGACAGACTGAATACAAATGACAGATAGGTTTTTCAAACAGTTAATGCCCTCAGGGAACTGGGATTTCATTACATATGGTTGTCAGCAGAAAAAAAATTGTGATGTTATCAAAATTAGACACCTGCAGACAAATGATTGAATCTGTCATACGGCTAATCAGGAGAGTCTTCTCTGTTACTAATCTCATACAAATATGTGTGCTTGAGATGTCCGAACTCCTTCGAAACATCTGTGTGTGTTCATGGGAAAGTAAACACAGATTCATGACTTTACTCTCCAAAAAAAATCAATTGGCAACACATCTGTAATCATGGTCACTCTCTCTTTTACACCTTATAGTGGGTTCTTGTTGCCTGAGAGAGAAAATCCAAGATCTGTAATACGATGCTGGAAGTTTGGAAATTTCACATGATCTTATAAATGCACTACCCTTCTGGAGTGGAGTTTTGTTCTCTTTCCTTTGCTTTCTATGCTCCAGTGACAACCTACATTTTATTTTCTCCATGCCAGAACTACGTATCCTGTTTTATCTGCCAAGAATACTCCTATCCAGCCCCACTCTACCCTGTTCCCATCCCTGCTAATGTTCATTCATTCTCAAGACAGTATTTCTTCAGAGAATTCACCCCGTAAAGGGGTAAACCCTAGATTAGATTCATCTCTCCTAAGTGTTTCTGTTCTTCACCGTTGCTCACTGTTGTTCACCGTTGAAATGTCAGCTCATGTCTTTCTGCGCCCATGATATGGAAGCTCAATGAGCTTGGAGAGTACATCTCATCTATCCCAGTTTCCAGTGATGCACTGCATCAATGTATGACACTGAATTGTTATGTTTAAGCTGTTATTAAGTGAATGAATGAGTAGCTTCCGACTCATCCGTACCTGGGCCCACAAAGCCCTCTAGAATAATTTCATAATGTTGACAGTGGTTCTAGGCCTTCGTCTTTTTCTAAATGGGAATATTCAGGATATCAGTCTTTCTGGGATCAGGGAAAAGGGCAACACAATCCTGTTTGAGTGGCCTCCCGGGATCCTTGGTATAATTCTATCCTCGGGAATGTGTCCTGCCCATACGTGAATTCCCAACCATGCGGGGGCACAACAGGCTACCTATATGAAAATGTCTTTAAGCCTTCCCTCTTTCTTTCTTTTGTAACAACATAATTTGTCATGCTTTCATGTTAAAGGAAGTTTCATAATTTCCTGTACAAGAAGCCACATTTATGAGAAAATCATTGGTGTAGTGCACTTGGTGTAACAAGAAGCAGATGCTACCATGGAAACTGCTCTGGACAAGGAATCAGAACAACGAGATTCTGGTCCAAGCCCTGCCTCTTACTTGCTGAGTGACTTTAAGCACCTACCTCTTCATGACTAAAATGTCCTCCTCTTTAAATTTTATGCATTTCCAGCCTGTAATGTTGCTTCAAGTGCCAGCTGAAATAATTGTATTCTACTATCACATATAGAAGTTACTGGTACTTTATGAAAGATACTTTTAAACTGTAAAATAACAGACAACTTATGATACTTCTGTCACTATTCCTTGAAAGCAATGTCATCTTCCTGGGTCTGAGCAGTATCTGTTAATAACAACGTCAATTTTCATTTGATGGCCCACAGAGGTAGCTCAATTCTCCCCAGGCTAGTGAGTTAAACATTAGAAACTAGTCCATATTCCATATATAATTAAACACCATTTGGATGGAATAAATATTCCTTTCTTTATTTTCTGTAATATAAAAACAATCTTTAAAAGCTATCATTCAAATAGTCGATATGATACTTCCTTAGGGGTTAGATTTGAATTGACTGGCATACAGCAAATGTTCAACATAAATAAGTGAAATGGAAGAGAAGATAAACTGTGACCTACATGGAATAATTTCAGAGAAAACATAAGCTTTTGTCCAACTGAGGAATCCATTACTGAGGTGTAGCTTACATTTCCACAATTAGAATAGAAATTTAAAGTTGAAATCTAAGTCACTTTCAAATAAACAGGATAGCAAATTCTTACCAAGGTGCAAATGATTTATTGAAGGCATAAATGAACAAGACATTAGCTTCATGCCATACAAAACAAAGAGACAACGAAGTCATCAATCTTCTTACTTTATTGTTTTAGGTTCTGAAATATTAAAATGAATTTGTGAAGGAGGAGTTGGTTTACACCTAGCTGTGCTCAGAGTTTACTCCTGGCTCTGCTCATGGGTCACTCCTGGTGGTTCTCATGAGAACATATGTGTTGCCAGGGATTGACCAGTTAGCTGCATGTAAGACAAGCGTTCCACCCACTGTACTCTCTCTCCCACTTTAACATGGGTTTTCTAATGTGCTGATGTTATTTTTTTAATTTGTTTATCACAGTCTCACCATTGCAAGAAAATACACACAGAAATAATTCTCACCTATAATTAATCTTCATAATCCTTTCCTATGTTAAATATTATTTCTTAATAGGAAATAGATTGACCTGGTTTGGGCATTGTTTTTCAATTGCAGACTTATAAATGAATCTTTGAGGGATCAGCTGTTGGTGACCATCCAGAAGACCTTTACATACACTCGAACCCAAGCTCAGCATCTGTTCATCATCCTCATGGAGTGCATGAAGAAGAAGGAACTGGTATGTGTCCTGAGTTTCCTGTGGCGATTCACAAAAATGCCCTCTGTGTGTCTAACCATTTCCTTGAATCATGAACCGACGTTGTCCTCACACCAAGCTCTAAATTTTCTTTAGGTTCCTATTGACACCTGTAGTTGCCTTTCCTCAGTAGTTAAGACACTGTGCTTTGCGCCTGAATCAAATGAAGTATGTGCAGTGATGTTTTCGTATCATTTCCTTTTGAAGCTCATCCAGATGTTTCTGGTTGCTTCCATCAAATGAAAGAAAATAGATTTCCTCCTACAAATCCTTCAGTTGAGCCTCTCATATTGGGGGTTTCGCCTCGCTTGAGAGCTATGAATTGAATCACCGATGTGCTTATTTTTTTTAAATTTGTTAATGGCACAGGATCCAGATTGATATGCTGATCTGTACAAGTGGAAAGTGGAGAAAGTACCCAAGGAATCCTGGAAATGTCTATAATTTCTAAGTGTTTTCTAATAACTGCTGCAATAATTGTACATGTAGGAAACGTGTTTAAAAACTCTCTACTAGAGACTATAGACCGAACACGATGGCTACTCAATACCTCTATTGCAAACCACAACACTCTAAAGGAAAGAGAGAGCAAAAGGGAATGCCCTGCCACAGAGGCGGGGAGAGATGGAGGGGATGGCATGGGGGGGTGGGAAGGCTACTGGGATCATTGGTGGTGGAGAATGGGCACTGGTGAAGGGATAGTACTCGATCATTGTATAACTGAAACCCAAGCATGAAAGTTTGTAAGTCTACAACTGTACCTCATGGTGTTTCACTGTCACTGTCACTGTCCTCCCATTGTTCATCGATTTGCTTGAGCGGGCTCAGTAACGTCTCCATCATGAGACTTGTTGTTACTGTGTTTGGCATATTGAATACATCATGGGTAGCTTGCCAGGCTCTGCCGTGCAAGCGAGATACTCTCGGTAACTTGCCGGACTCTCCGAGGGGGTGGAGGAATCGAACTCGGGTCGGCTATGTTGGCTGCATGCAAGGCAAACACCCTACTGCTTTGCTATTGCTCCAGGTGTTTCACTAATTAAAAAAAAAAACTCTCTACTAGGGTAAACAGAAGTAACATGAGCTGACATGCAATGATATGCATATGTCAGGCAGGACATCCTTATATCCAATAACTCATGTGGTATTTTCAAATATCCCAATGAGAGGATGTAATTAATGACCACCTCACCTTAAAAACTAGGACACTTAACTCAATTAAAGAGTCAAAAACTAAGATTCCAAATCAGTGGTGTTTAAGTCACTGTGGGAAATGTTTTTATTCAGATATTATCTCACTGAAGCAAATGTAGTGTGTTGCCTACTCTAGGTAGATTCCAACAGGACTTGGGCAAGCAGAAACTAATCTCAAAGGTTGTTTGGGCCCAACTGCTGTCAAGGAAGATTTCGGATCAGTTTAAACCTGAGAAGTGGCAGGTTTTAGACATCCCATATTGTCCCCGAGAACAGCCAGGTGCCATTCCTGAGTGCAGAACCAGGAGTAACCCCTGACCACTCACTGCCAGGTGTGACCCTCAAATAAGCAACAACAAAATCATGACCTCTGTTTAAAATATCAACTACATTTTCTTATTTGGCATGGGATGGGGTGTATTTTGGACTATTCCCAGCTCAGGGCTTTCTCCTGGTTCTGGGCTTAAGATCTATCACTCCTGACATGCTTAGGGGATCATATGCACCACTGGAACTTAAACCAGGATTGGTAAAATGCAAGGCAAACACTTAAACCACAACACCATCTCTCCAGCTCCAATTACATGTAATCTAAGATATGTATTGAGATAAATGTGATAGATCCCTTGACGAAAACTATGTGACTTTAAGTAACAAATTGTTCTTACTTTTATGGCCGCTTACAGTCTCTGCCACATTTTTCTCTACTTCTTGTTAAACAACCTTTTAAGTTACCAAAACTATTCTTGACTTATTGGTCATTAGTGAAACAGACCATCGACCAAGTTTGGCCCGTAAACTGTGTTGCTTGTCCCAAATATTGCAATGCTATATATATATATATTTTATGCTGAAGTCCATAACCAATCATATCAGTCCTCCTAATAGAAAGTATGATGTTTTGCAGTCTCTGTCTTAAATTCTGTTTTTTCTTTAATGCATCCTCCATGCTAACCAAACTGATCTTTTCTCTGTCATTTTTTCTGTGCTTGTTCAAGCTTAGAGGACTGTTTAGTCATAACCAACTACCAAACACAAACACCCATTATGCACACATATGTATACATGGATTTATATATTTGGAACAAAAATATACTTTGTTCCGGGACTGGAGAATGGTGTGGCACATATGGAGTTTGGTTTGTATGTAGACAACCTGGTACAATTCCTGGTATACCCCATTTAGTCCCCTGAGACCACCAAGAATGATCCCTGAGTGCAGAACCAAGAGTAAATCCTGAACACTGTCAGACGTGGCTCCAAAACAAAACGAAATAAATATACTTTGTTCCTTTGTTTGCTATTATTCTGGTTATTTATATTTTAAATTACTAAGTATATCTTGAAATTTTTACATAAGCTCTTAAGAGTAGATCATCTGAATCATCATCCCGTTTCCCCTGCACTCATTCACCCTTAGTGGACAGGGCGTTTGCCTTGCACGCAGACAACATGGCCAACCCAAGTTCGATTCCTCCACCCTCTCGGAGAGCCCGGCAAGCTACCGAGAGTATCTCGCCCGCACGGCAGAGCCTGGCAAGCTCCCCGTGACGTATTCGATATGCCAGACACAGTAACAACAAAGTCTCCAATGGAGATGTTACTGGGCCCGCTCGAGCAAATTGACGAACAACGGGAGGGCCTTTACCTTTTACCCTTGTATTTACAGCACACTCAATAAATCTTTGCATAAAGGATAAGCTGAGTGAATGGATTTAAATGAATACATATTAGTTAGGAGATATACATATTTATTATCCATAAACTGTCTTAAAATCTCTCTAATACAGTGGCACATCTCCCTAGGGAATCATAACTTTGGTTTGTGTGCTTAAATTTAATTCAGCTCCATCTGCTTAAGTTAATGTTAGACTTATGGGACGTATTCTAATATGGTGGTTATAAGGAACAAGATCCAAAAGCAGATAAACCTGGACTGAAATTCTGGCTTCATGACTAAACTAATCTTCGTTAAACTCCTGGACTCTCAGCTTTAAATATGAAAAAATATAGTGAGTGTTACCCTTGTGCCCATGTGTTCTAGAATCTGCATTACTTCTTGTGTCTTTTAGTGGAGGCTGGAGGCGGGGGCGGGGGGGGGGGGGGGAGGCGGGCGTGGGAGTTCATCCACATCCAGCAATGCTCACTCCTGGGGGAGGAGGGAGTTGGGGCTCTATGTGGTGCTAAGAATCAGACCTAGGTCAACCTTCTTTTTTTTTTTAAACAATGTAGGAGCACTGCTATTTATCCAGCCATTGATTAAGCTTGGGCCAGCTTCCTTGCAAGGCAAAGCACCTTACTTGCTATACTATCTCTCCAGCCCCAGTCCAATCTTGTGTCTTTTTATTAGTGAAGATCTTTATTTTCTCTCTCTCTTTTCCTCTCTCTCTCTATATATATATACATATATATATATATATATCTATATGTGTGTGTGTCACACAGAAAAAAACACAGAATGACACAAATATGGGCTGGAGCGATAGCACAGCAATTAGGGCATTTGCCTTGCATGCAGCCGACCTGGGTTTGATTCCTCCACCCCTCTCGGAGAGCCCGGCAAGGTACCGAGAGTATCTCACCTACATATAAAGCCTGGCAAGCTACCCATGACGTATTCGATATGCCAAAAATAGTAACAATAAGTCTCACAATTTGTTGTGAGATGTTACTGGTGCCCGCTCAAGCAAATCAATGAACAACGGGAGGACAGAGACAAATATCACTATCACAATAGTACAGTGTGCACAGTATCAAGACTTGTCTGAGGGTTGGTAAATGCTAAATATACCCATGACCCATCAAATACCAGGCCAAGCACTCCACAGATGTTCCTTCCATGGCTTCCCATCCTTTGCTTGGTTGTGCCAGGCTGTAGAGCTGCTGATTCTCTCTTAGACATTAAGGAGGCATCAGATGCATTGTCTGGCCCATAGATAAGTACTTAGACCTAACTCTGCTGCTTCCTGAGGAAGGGAGGTTTATTTCCTTTATAGGCACACATTTAATACTTACGTTTATGTCCAACACACACTCTAATCAAATTTAGGAAACCGATGAGCAACTGTTTACCTATCTTTTTATAGATTCACAATAATCAAGCAAGTAAGACTTATCCCTCTGCTTCTGTAAATAGGAGACCTCCATCTGAGAAAGTTCAAGATTTGGATTTTTGTTTTTGTTTTGGCTTAGTAAAATAAGTGTTTGTCAGACTTTGGGTTTGTCTTCAGTTGTCTGGGGACCACACCTATCGATTCTCAGAGTGTGTTTGGGGGCACGACCCTCGGGGCTCCAGCCTGCAAAGTGTATCCTCCTGTTCTCTGAGCCATTTCCCTGGACCTTGTGAGATCTTTAATATTTGAGCAGGGACAGTTAGTATAACTGCGCAGGTTAAAATCTCAGCATCATGTCAGATAGACTCTTAAAGATCCCATTTACCCAAGTGCCCAAATTTCTGGGAGAACTATCATTTCAGAATATGTAAGAACATTGCACTGAGGGACTCCCAGCAAGCACTCATTAACTTGACTATTACAATTATTCCAAGGAGCAGCCCAGAATTCAGTTTTTCTCAACCTTATTCTGACTCTAACCACCTTCTTACCTTGTTTTCTTTCTGTGTCCCTCACCTTGCCAACTGGACCCTCTCTTCTCATCCTATGGCCTCCCTTTAACATGATTTTCACCTGTGGCCCCCTTGTAATATCCTTGGAGCCATGTGATTCTGCTTGAGAAATACTGACACAGATACTACTGAGCATATCCATAGCTATCCTCCTCACTCGTGT